CACCTCCACGCAATACCCGTACTGCTCATTGCAATATAATTACTCATTTACCGGGAGTGAAACCTCATGCGCGAAATGCAAAAACAATTATAGAATCTTGGTCACTTTTCTTTCCTGACAACGTTATTCAAGAAATTGTTACATGTACTAATATCTATTTGACCAAAATTAGAATAAATTATGGTAGGGAACGAGATGTCTTGGATACGAGTGTAGTAGAAATACGAGCGTTGTTCGGTCTTTTGTACATAGCTGGTATGATGAAAAGTAATCATCTAAATTTGTCGGATCTTTGGTCAAATGATGGGTTATCGCCGGAGTATTTTAGAGCTGTTATGTCAAAAACGCGTTTTTATTTATTATTACGAGCACTAAGGTTTGATAATATAAATACTCGCAGTGAAAGAAAAAAATTTGATAAATTAGCACCTATTCGAACTATTTTTGATGAATTTGTTGATCGCTGTAAATTAAATAATACTGTCGGGGAATATTGTACCATTTACGAGATGCTTGAAGGTTTCAGAGGGAAATGTAGTTTTCGGCAATATATCCCTAACAAGCCCAACAAGTATGGTATAAAAATATTTTCACTCGTAGATGCTCGTTTATTTTACACAACAAATATGGAGGTTTACGTAGGGAAACAACCTAATGGTCCTTATAATCAAGATAATAGTGCATCAAGTATTGTCAAGAGGATGATTTCTCCAATTTCCAAAACGGGTAGGAACTTGACCATTGATAATTGGTTTACATTTGTTCCATTGGCCGTTGACCTGTTACAAAATCATAGAATAACTATGGTTGGGACAATTAGAAAAAATAAAAGAGAAATACCTCCTCTTTTTTTGGACACAAAAAAACGAGAAGTGAATAGTAGTAAATTTGGATATAGTAAAGAATGTTTATTAGTATCATACGTACAAAAAAAAAATAAAAATGTACTGATGTTGTCAACAATGCACAAGCAAGGAGATATTGATGTAGAAAGCGGAGAACAACGTAACCTGAAGTAATTACTTTTTATAATTTTACCAAAGGAGAAGTCGACGTAGTTGACGAACTAAAAGCTGAATATTCCGTAGCAAGGATTAGTTGTAGATGGCCTCTTACCATATTTTTTTCTCTTATGAATATAGCTAGTATAAATAGCCAAATTATTTATAAAGCCAACACTGATACTACTATAAGTAGACGTCAATTTTTAAAATCTCTTGGGCAAGATCTATGTAAACCATTTATGGAACAACGACTGAATTGTAAAAATTTGTCTTTTGATCTTCGAAAACAAATAAATCGTTTCACCGGTCAAATCTCCACACCAACTCAAGAGGACCCAAGACCTACAGAAAGAGTTAAATGTGCTTACTGTCCTGCAAGGAAAAATCGCTATACCGTGGTAAGTAGATACACTACTAAGCCCAAATATATGTATATACAATTAATTATTTTATATTATAGGTAAAATGTGCAAGGTGCTCTGTGCCATTATGCAAAGAACACACATTAGCCCTATGCAATTTGTGCAACGGAAACAACAGAGATTTAGATGATTAGTTTTTTATAAGTTTGTAAATTAATTCATGCATACATATTACATTTTAATTATTTTCTCATTATGATTTTGCACATTTCATAGCATATAAGTCAGTATAATTATTTAAATTTTTTTTCAATATATTAATAAAGAATATTCAACATTGGTTTATTTTATGATTTATCAATTATTTGTTCTTAAAATATTACATTCACGATGAAATATACTAGGTGAGCGAATTGCTCTACGCGCGAGTAACGGTGTTCAAATTATACGTGGAAGTCATGACGGGTTAAAGTTTTAAAGGCTAGTGGCTACGGTAAACACTAAATACACGTAACAGATGAATGCAAAAGCCAAAAACTATATAAAAAGCGAAATAACATTTAATAAAACGGAAACATTTTTATGACGATAGTTGATACGCGTCGATATCGATATGCGTAATAATAACACATGATAACGCATACATTTTATTATTGTATCCCACTTTTGTTGGGAAAAAATATTTTCCAATTTAAAAATAGACTGGTCACGTATAATATTTTTCAATTTTAACCAATATATACTTTTAATTTAGCAAAACATTGTTAATTCAACAACTATGATTTTATCAATAATCAAGAAAATTGTTTTGTTAATATGAATGATGAAATTTCGTTATGTGTAGTACCTAATTGATTATATATTATTTGTAATGTAAAAAATATAACTGTCCAAGCCAACGGGTAGGATATCATAATTATTATATTACCTCGTACCACCACTCCGCCACCGACCGACACACACACGCATACACAGCGCACACCTGATTGTCAATATATTAAATCAATTAATTATTTTTGTATTGTTCTTATGTTATCTTGTGAATTATATAATAATATGTAGATTACGCGTGAACGTTCGCCTACGCGACACTTTAGCACGGCCGCCAAAAGTTGTCCAGTCCAGGTTCACGCACCGGTGTCAACGGAGAGCGTAACATTTATTATTTCGTGTGCCGGTCGCTCGTGTTATCCAAAAATATTTTCATTATAGGCGCGAATCGCCTAAGTTGTAATTACATAAATATTATCATTGTAGGTGCGAATCGCCGAAGTTTTAATTATATATAGTATATAATATTGGTTGTAGGCGCGAATCGCCTTTCATGCCGAGCATATTATAATATTGTAAGGCAAATCGCCATCATTAGTGTTGGTGCTCACAAAGCGCTGGACATATTACTATTTTATATTGTTTTATATCTTGTGCTACAACTCGTCACTGCTTATTATCTTTCGTTACCTACATTAGTATTTTTTTAGTGTTAATTATATTTCTCAAGTTGTTATTATTATTGTGTGTCGATTTTTAATGTATTATATAGGATAGGTAGCAGCTGGCCAGCCGTGCACCGTCAATATTGTGAGTAACATTTATTATTATATTCCATTACAGCTTTAATAGCTGCATTATATATTTTATACTATTGAGCATATTTATTATTCTTAGCTGCTCAAATAGCTTATTATTTACAATTATTATATTATTGCGTCTGTTAGACCAAAAAGGGTCATAATATTTAATTTGTATATTGTGCATTATATTTATATTATTGAAGCATAAATTATAACATATTGTTTCAAAATTGAAAATACGCGTTTGACATTTTATTATTTAAGTATACACACAACCACAAATACACACCTACACACACCACCTGCACACTAGTACTCACAGGTCTTGCTCGGCGAACCTGTCCAATTCCTGTTGAGTACTAAAACAAATACACACACAAGGTGCACAATCTGGTCGGTGTGCGACAGGTATTATACGATATATTTATATAAGTATTAAAAATTCGCAGCGAAGAAAATAGGTAACCGGGCTCACGTTTTATTATTAAACGTTCCCGGCCTAAACAATAACTAATAAACAAATAATCCTTGTTCATATTTATTATTTTTATTATTATTATACATTACTACTTACTTATAAGTTATATTAAACCTAAAATTGTAAAAGATTGTGATTGATAGTATTAAAACCACTTTTAAAAACCAAAAACTCTAAGCATGTGCACAACACATCTATATACAACATGATACATTTAACTGATGTTTTATAGGCTACACATATATCCATTTAACTGTACTTAATAAGCACTTATGAACAGTAATAATGTTATGATAGGTACGCCAAACCTACAGGTGTCTATATAAGTAATTTAGAGCATTTAATTAGCTTTATGGAACTAACTAATTACCTTTTTTAAAACAATTAAACATAATTACTTATGCTTATTACAATATTTTTTTTTTTTTTTTTACATTTTACAACATTTCACAAAATTAATTAATGCCTAAGGTTGATACCTATCAGGTGCCTTACGCTCTCTCTCTCTGGATATCGGCGTGTTGTCAACTCTGTACCTAATGTATCATTAATGTTTGTTGTATTATTGGAATGTGAGCCCAAGTTACTGAAACTAAGATCTTCACAAACCGATAAAGACTTAGGTGAATGGAGATGATCAGCTAAATAACTCTTTCTCATTTGATTAAGATGCACTTTCCTTATTTTTTCATTAACTTTAACCAAATAAACTACTGACCCAATTTTTTTTGTTACTCTACCCAACTCCCAAGTATAACCCTTTTTATTAATGAAGTTCTTCTTAATCAAGACTTTATCATCAATACTAAATTCCCTGGTGACAGGTGTATTTAAATCTAACTGCACTTTACTCTTAGGAATTAACCAAGATAACTGGGTCCTAGGTCTAAATTTAAACATAAGTTCTGCTGGAGCAACCTGTGTAGTTGTACAAGGTGTATTACGGTAATTAGATAGGCACCCTAATAATTTATCCTTCATTGCTTCTTTCCCCGGTGGACACCCAGCCACAACATTCTTTAATAAGTATTTTTTTATGGTCTGAACACCTCTTTCAGCTAACCCATTAGAGGTTGGGTTATAAGGAGGTGAATTCATATATTTTATATTATTTTTAAGTAAAAACTGTTTAAAGTTTTCACTGTTAAATGGAGGCCCATTATCAGCTAATACTATTGCTGGCAACCCAAAACAAGCAAAACAAGATTTTAGTTTATCCACTACAGACTAAGTGTCAGTACTCTACATCAGCCATACCTCAATCCACTTGGAATAGTCATCAATTAAAATTAAAAACTTGCACTGCTGGGCATCAAATAAATCTAAATGTAAGCGCATCCAAGTTTGTGAGGATTCTGGCAAAGGAGCATATATTTTTTTAATTTTATCACACTGATTCACTTGACATGGCATACATGATTGTACATACTTTAAAATATCAACCTCTATAGTAGGCCACCAAACATATGAACGAGCCAACAATTTACAACGCACTATTCCAGGATGACCCTTATGCAGTAAATCTAAGACTTGTACTTGCAAACGTTTTGGAATGACAACACGATTACCAAACAAGATACAACCAGATTCAAGCGACAACTTAAGACGGTTTTTATAAAATGGTTTTAACTCATAATTCAGCTGTGAAAAATGTGGCCAACCATTATTTAAACAACCAACCACTTTTACTAGTATATCATCCAAGCAGGTTTCTTGTTCAATATTCTTAAACGTTAGTAACTTTTCTTCAAACGATGCTACCACCGACACCAAGCAACATTCATTATCAACTGATTCCTTAGACTCTAAAGGTAAACGTGAAAGACCATCAGCATTAGAATTGCATTCTCCTTTTTTAAAAACTATTTCATAATTGTAAGCAGCTAATATAATAGCCCAACGTTGCAGACGTGCAGCAGATAACTGTGGAATACTTTTAGACGGATTAAATATTTGTTTTAATGGCTCATGATCTGTCACTAACTTAAACGGACGGCCATAAATAAACTTATGAAATTTGCGGACACCAAAGATAATAGCTAACGCCTCCTTATCCAACTGACTATAACGCTTCTCAGTCTCAGATAAAGTGGTGCTTGCAAACATAATAGGATGTTCCCTATCATCTATGATATGGCTTAAGACTGCACCAATACCATAAGAACTACTATCTGTTGCTACAACCAAAGGTAAATTACTATTGTATAACACCAGACAAGACTTTTCAGCTATTAAATCTTTTGTCTTGATAAATGCTCTTTCACATTTTGAAGACCAATTCCACTCAGACTTTTTACGAGTAAGGCTTAATAACGGTTCCATTACATCAGATAGTGAGGATAACGACAAAAATTTATGATAATAATTTAATAGACCTAAATAAGATTTGAGTTGAGTCACATTTACTGGAACAGGTGCATTTTTAATAGCATCCACTTTCTCTGGATTAGGATACAAACCACTACAATTCATCCGATAACCAAGATAATCGATAGACTCTTTAAAAAAATGACACTTTTCTGCATTAATTTTAATATTATACTTTTCAAACCGACTTAAAACGCTTCCTAAGTGCCTTTTACATTCATCTAAATTTGCACCTCCAACCACCACATCATCTAAGTAAGCTGCAACTCGTGGAATACCTCTGACAACAGAATCCATAACTGACTGAAAAATTGGTGGTGCTGATTTTAACCCAAAACACAATCTATTAAAGCAATACAAACCAACATGAGTATTGACAGTCAATAAATGTTTACATGAATCAGCTACACTTAATTGTAAATATGCATTAGTAAGATCCAACACACAAAAATATTTACAACCTGATAGTGAATTAAAAATATCATCAATTTTAGGAAGGGGGTAATAGTCCATTTCCACATACCTATTTACTGTGACTTTCAAATCGACACATAACCGGATTTTACCATTCTTACGTGGAACACACACAATTGGAGATGCCCATTGACTATGTGACACTTTTGTGATGATACCTTGGCTTTTTAAAGCATTCAACTCTTTAATCACCTGATCTCTAATCGCATAGGGAACATCATACGCTCTATGGAACACTGGTACCACATTTTCTTTTAGCACAATAGTAGCCTCAAACACCTTTATTGGCACCACATTATTAGAAAATACTTTAGGATATTTAACTTTAAACTTTTCCACTGACCTAACATTCACCACCAAAACTTCCACTTGTTTAGTACACACAATCTGACTCCTCCACAGTGGGTTAACTATGTCTAACCAATCTCTACCTAACAGCGGTTTTTTTAGACTATTATCAGTAATGACTAAGGGTAGGTTATTATAATAATGATCCTTTATACTAATATTAACTATAATTTTACCCATGGTTTTCATAGACTTCCCATTTGCAGTGATCAACCTAACTTCACTTGGCTGGAGTAAAAAACCCGACAACTCTGCATTATAGACATTCATTGGTAACAGAGTGACAGCTGCGCCTGAATCCACCTCAAAATCTAAAAATGTGTTATCATTAATACAAACAGTTGTTTTAAGGGCGTTACTAAAAACGTTATTAATTTCTACATTATTCACAGACTTTTTATTATTTCTACACATATGAGACGTGTGTCCCTTTTTTGAACAGTTGAAACAAACCCAATCCTTGGCTGGACACTCTGACTTTGAATGAGATTTTCGACCACACCGACCACAAGCATTTCCATGACTGGAGTTTCGCTCACCAACATACTTCTTTTTTTGAATGGCTTTTGACGATACATCTTCGTGTTTGTGAGATTGTAATTTGGATGACTGATTTTTGAACTTTTGACGAATAGACAAGGTCTCAGCCTCAACACGCTCATGCATGACGGCTGTATTTTTCCTTACAGTATCCATATCCATTACAGTTTTGCACGCAGAATCGAATGATAGTGCACTAGGTTCGGCTAATAGTTTACGTACCATTATGTCATCACTTAAACCGGCAACCAACCGATCTCTTAAAGCTTGATCCAAAAATGCAACAAACTTACAGCTCGAGGCAAGACGACGCAATTCGATGATAAAATCGTTGACTGATTCACCTTCTTTCTGCTTCCTCGAGTTAAACTTGTATCGTTCTGAAATTACTAGCTGTTTTGGACAATAGTAATCTTTTAATTTTGAGATGACTGTCTCAAATTGTTGAGTTTTAATTTCACCAGGCAACATTAAGTTTTTTAATACGGCGTACATTTCTGGACCGATAAGCACAATAAGTGAAGACACCTTATCGTTATCCGAAGCCGCACCATTCACAAAAAAAAAGCTTCCATTCTTTCCAGAAAATTTTCGAATGGTTCACTATTGTCATATGGACTAATAGCACCAAAACTTGTTTTGGTTATTAACACAGTTTTATTACCTGTAGGCTGACTTGACTGTTCACCTGCAACCATTTTTTTTTTTTTTTAACTTCGACCGCACACTCTTGACCGGTTCGCACAAGACATATGAATTATAAACACAAAACAAACACGCATTCGTCGCCAAATGTTATGTCTTTTAGGATACAGTTGGGTTAAGGTCGTTAAAGAATATAGATACACAAGTACATTTTAACTTTTTATTGAAACACATGCGTCATGCTTACGACTTATAGTGACAAGGCAACATACATCGTAACCTAACAATATAGATTTTCAGTGAAACAGTGTTGCCACATAACAGGTATAAGTCTAGTTTACCGGGCCCCTTTTTTTTTTGAAATTTTTTTTTTTGAAAAGGGTTGTTTTGACGAGTTAAGAACGATGGTGCAAAAATAAATGATTATTTTGGAAGTTATAGCTTCCTAAAGTTAACGTTTATACGCGTGCGCGCAACACTACTATAATGCTGCGCGGGGGACCTCGAGTTTGGCGACCGGAGGACTTTTTTAATTGTTTTTATCTTTTATGATAACTGATACAACAATTAGTAATTACTAATTACCCTGTGAACTACTTGAGGTGTTGTGCATAGCAAGTCGATGGATATTTTCGATTTTCTGAGTGGAGCGACGGTGCCGAGGAGCGCAGCGACGAGTGCCGCCAACTGTGTAACACTGCCCATATACTACGACATAACTTACCCTGTAACCAACTTAAGGTGGTGTAGGTGTTGCATAGCAAGTCGGGGGATATTTTCGATTTGCGGAGCGGAGCGACGGCGCCGAGGAGCGCAGCGACGAGTGCCGATACACGCGTAATCACTGCAACTTGGAACTTCCTTAACTTTTGAACGATAAGTTTCCGGGAATTTTTGAGGAAAACCGAGGTTCACCTGAGGTGGTTTTACACAACAAATCGGGGGATATTTTTGATTTGCGCCGAGCAGCTTAGCGACGAGTGTCGCAAACTGTGTAATCACTGCCCTGCTTACTGTAGGTAATTAACTATAGGTAATTTGGTTATCTATAAAATATATAGGTAATTAATAATATAATTATAATAGGAATAGTAATATAGTTATTTAATAGGGTATGCCATCACAATAAAAACAATTAAAAAAGTCCTCCGGTCGCCAAACTCGAGGTCCTCCGCGCGGCATTATAGTAGTGTTGCGCGCACGCGTATAAACGTAAAATCGTTAACTTTGGGAAGCTATAACTTCCAAAATAATCATTTCCGCAATTTTATTTTTGCACCATCGTTCTTAACTCGTCAAAAAAACCCTTTTCAAAAAAAAAAAATTAAAAAAAAAAATGTGCCCGGTAAACTAGACTTGTTCCATATGTTATATCATAAGCTATAGGTTTGGTTCAAAGTACGCTAAAAGTTATAATTTCAACATAGTAAGTCTAAAATATTCGAGAAACTTACGCGTATCACACAATAACAGTAATTCCTTATCATACAGACTTTGTCGACAATTTTTCCCTCCATTATTTATCATTCGATTAAAAATTGATACTATAAATTATTGATTAGTTTGTTTATCAACTCATAGATAGCACCACATAATCAACATCGTAAAACATAATAATCATATAATTATTTTAAAAACATGTTGCAAGAATGCAACAATATGCATTTAAGGGTTAAATCGACTACTTAACCTTTTTATTCAATTGACATTCGGTTTTAACATTTTCTCCTACAATAATACAATATCAGACTATCGACGTTAGGAGGTATGCCCAGTAAACGCACAAATTTGTACCGGTTGAGGACTGAAAGCTAGACACACAATTACCGTTTTCGTTTTACATTTATCCTTTTTGCACGCACAAAAGAACAGTTTATGCGAAGGGACATGTATCCAATCTGCCATACACAGATGCCCTATAACTCATAAATTTGCATAGAGCGATGATTGATGGCTAGACATTCGATTACAATTATTCGCAATTTCTAATCTCTTATACAGTCAACAAAATAGAACCGGGTATACAGAGGGCACGGTATTACACCAGACGAGCAAAGACCACTCTACACTGCAAGTCACAGTTTTCGGTACGGTTTAATTTCTTTTCGAATTTCCCGTGAAACGATTTTCACTCGACCACCTCGAAGGCACCGGAGGCGGCTTCCACAACTCCCGGAATCTAGGCACAAGGGCAGCTAGTAATATTATAAAACTATATTATCATTACAACGATACATTGTTAATATTCTATTTTATTTTATTTTTTTATTTTAAAAAAGAAGTTTAGTTGTTAAATTTAATAAATAACAATATAAAAATAGTACTTACAGCAGATTACCAGACCTCTTCAACAAATAGCAACCAGTCAAAAGATTACCGAAACAACTCTAACAAGTCATCATACTTAGAAAAAATACTTCAATTTCCACAAGCTAAGTATGATGGCTTGTTAGAGTTGTTTTGGTAATCTTTTGACTTGTTGCTATTTGTTGAAGAGGTCTGGTAATCTGCTGGCTGACCGTTGGTTGGCGAAGAAGGCTGTTCTGCTGCTGACTGATCTTGGAACTGCTATTGCTTGAACTGATGACGATAAGCTAAGAAATTCTGTGTTTTATACCCGAAAATAGCCCCTCTCTGTTCACATCAGAAACTTTTTTAGAATGGATTTAAACATTTTTATATATTCCATATCCTGCTTTCATATTATAATGGCATTGACATGAATGTTCACATCTTTTAATTTATTTTAAATCCTGTTTGTAATAATTTACATTCATATAGTGTAATTATAATATGAAAGCAAGTTATGTTAGCAACAATCTAAATTCATATAATGTAATTTGCTGTTGTACCTCTATGTACATGTTTCGACCGGTTTCTGCAAGGTCATTGCTATGGAAATTTGTATATTAAATTATTGAAGTAGTGGCAAAATCTGTGTATAAAAAACAGAGGGAATTCACTAATATTCACCAGTCTTCAAGATTTCATCCCAGGACAAGCAGTTCAGTTCAACAAAGATACTACCAAAAAAGATGTCGTACCGTACAATTGCTTCAACTAATTCAAAGGTTAGTAACTACTTAGTAAATATCTTAAAGCCAAAGCTAATTGGAGGCCAGTCGTAACACTACTCAACGCTATGGTTATAATTCTTAAATTATATTTAATGTCTGATTATAACATAGTTTAAAAAGCTCTATAGTAACTAAAGCATATTGGAAATCAGTCGTGGCATTACTCAACGCTTTGGTTATAATTCTTTTAACATAGAAAATATATAATGAAAAAACAGTAAAAAGTAATATACTATGTTTTATATTTCATAGAATGAACATTTCAGCGAATCAACTGATATGAGACCGTCTTTTTCAAAAACAAAACCTGGTCTAAAACGTGCTGCAGAAAAAACAAGCGCGAAAAAACCTATGAAAAAAAGCAGAACAAAATGGTAATATAAATAATATTTTTTTATAATGATAGCATAAATAATTTTTTTTTTTTTTATAGAATGCATCATACAGAGATAATGTTACCGAACGTTTGAGATCAGAAGAATTTGATGTCGAGTTAATTAATTCGCTGACATTTAGACAAGGTGACATTTAGATGGTGTTGTGACAATAAAGACGACTTTTGAAGAAAAATGAAAGGAGCGTTGGGTAATTAGCCACCATAAGGTTGCTAACATTGTGAATATACCAGTAAAATACAGGTAAATACATTTTTTTAAATTTAAAAACCTATTGATGAATCTGTTTTTTTTTCACTGATTTCATTTACTTATTTTCTTTTTAAAATAAAAGAATTTTTTTTTTTATAGATGGAAGTTCAGTGAAGCTACTGTCAGATTGTATACGAGCGACGAATCAAAAGATCAAACGCTTCATACTGGTCTTAATGAGACAATGCAAACCATATTTGACAAATTACTAACTGGTCCGAAGCGTCAGGCTATTAAAAGCAAGACGACCGTTTGATTAATATATGAAAAAATGAGTTTCATTTTATAAACAAAATATTATTATACATGTATGTTTTGTAGGTCTTGGAAAACATAAACCTATAAACTATGGTTGGTTGGAAAAAAATTTCTAATTGAAACATTGTTATCAACTCTATACTATCAAATTTAATCTACTTTTAAAACATAATATTAAAACTAAAACTTATTAAAACTATTCTTTATGATATAAGGTGAGATGTAATTAAAATAAAAAGAAAGTTTATTATTGAATAAAAAAGTTTTATTAAAAAAAACAATAATTATACATATTTAAATATTTTTATAATATTAGATCTTGTAAAATCATATCGGACAATGTGTTAAAATGGAATTATAATTTTTCATATAAAAATGATGTGTCATCGTTATGTAGGTGATTATAATAATCAAAATCATAGTTTTGAATATATTGGTTGGTAAATTCGTTCCTTTGACAGGTGTACGGCAGACCACGGACATCAAAAAACGTTTGTGCTTGTCTACCACGTACAAATCTATCAAATTCTGTAATTGACGAAGCCGGTACAAATCTACATGGGACAAGGTAATGCATTCCTCGTTTAGATGTAGGGCAATTGAACTCTGTATAACATTCATTGAATATGAAAAGGAATCGGTAATCATAACACGTCTCACCCTAGTATTTAAATTATTAATAATTAATTGAATTGAAATTAGATTCAGACATCAGTGTAAACCAATCTTCTAAACTTAATGTAATAATTTTCTTTGAAAGTTTACATTCCAATAATAAAATAATTGAAATCTGCTTGTTAATTAGTAATCCAACTGTAATACTTTTCTTGTTAAAAGCCCGGATATCAAATGTAGACTTATTAACAAT